GGTCAGCATATGGCAGTGGCTGATCCACAGCCTTGAGAGTGGTACCAACAGCATGAGATTCCTCGAGGACTGGAGAGCAGCGGATCCTCAGACACTACAGACCAGAGCTGGTGGCCTCGTAGCAGTTGCAGCGAAGTACTTAACATCTTCCACCATCTTTTTTGTCTACCTTTTCCTTGTGCTCGACTTCCTCGTTGCCACCTCTATATTCGACGCAGCTCGTATTGTATTCGCGTTGTGGTTCGTTCCACAGTGGCCCCTGCAGCCTCGATGGATATGGGAAGTTCTCATTGTTGCTACTGCGATATGGTTTGTTATCCGCATGGCTTATCAAACGCCGTTGTTTTGCGGTGCGGCTTCGACTAATAGTAATTTCGGCATTCTTTGGAGGTTTGGTAGTAGTGCTAAATCGCCGGTATATTTCGAGAGTGGCTACGGGAGTCCCCGCATGGCAACTGTTTATTCAAGCCCTAAATATGTGGACGTAGGATGGGACGTTTGGATTGGGATCGCCAAGGTGACGGGCGAGTCTGCTCTACCGAATCAGCGCAGTGCCGGGTTGATCGGCTACGTTTGGGCCGATGTTATGTTGCTCCTTGCACTGTGCTTCCATAAATGGTCACTACAGCTTTGTGGTCTATGGGACTACGTCCAAGTTGCCGATCCACGGGATCAAGATGCGGCTATTTTGGTGCTACGCGAGGGTTTTGGTATCCCGGACTCTGTTGACGACGCCGAAACAGAGGGAGAGTCACTCTCACAGCACACCTCCGAATGGGGTCTCCCTCCGCGGTTAGCAGCAACACCTACCACGCTGGTGCGAGGCGATACGGTTTATCAAAGTATCTGTTCATCGAGTGCCAGCGACATCGACTACGTTAGCGCCGTGTCAACGACAATAGGCTCCTTCGCTGATATCAATGGCGTGCCCTTGAGATCAGTTGGTTATGCTGAGCTCAGTCGGTATGCTACATCCCGTTACATGTGCAATGAGGATGTGCAGGGTCGCTGTGTCCCTGCTGGTTCATCAGACCTACTCGGGGTCAACGGACTCCTCGATGGCTATCGCAGAATGCGCTGGCTCTCCCAGCAGGTGTATGCCAACAAGGAGACTCTGAGATTCTCCCAAACCGACTCTGATCACACAGTTGGAGACGAATCAACCACGAGTAACCACACTGATTGGTTGTCCAGAATTTATCATTACTTGGATCCATTCGCTGCGCACAAGGTCGGCCACGACTATTATATCACTATCTTCTTATTGGCCCTCTTTCTTTGGATTTGGTGTATCCTGACGTATCACCGTATGTCTGGTGATACGAGCGAGGATGTTCTTGGTGCTCTCAAATCGAATAAGTTTTCGCATCACTCGCTTTATTGATGATAAGCCATCTCATTT